AGCCGGCAAGATGGTATGGGAGGTCTCACGAGTTGCCACCGAAGGTGTCGGAGGGCGGAGAAACGGCACCACCATTATCACCAGGGTGGGCACCTCCAGCGAGGGGGGTCCACGATGCCTCCCCGAGCTGGGGAGAGGGTGCGCCTCGAGCTAGAAAAGGGGAGGGGGGGGGGGGCGACGCCACCCGGGGAACCCTTCCCTGGCTCCTCCCGCGGGCGGCCCCCGGTGAGGCTGGTGGCGCCGCTCCTCCGTGCCCGCAAGGGGGGGATGGAAGGCGGGGGAAGAGGGCCCCGCGGCCCCAGTCGCACGCGCGAGCGCCGCCGACCTCCCGGCCGGGGGGGGGGGGCGGGCGGGCCGGGTCTCCAGCTCCAGCAGTGGGCATCCCGAGGCACGTTTCCAGCATGGGGCGAAGCGTCGCGCCTGGCATCTGGGCCCACCAGAGAATGGTGTCAGAAGCGTTTGTGGTCTGCACGACATGTTCTTAGAACAGTTCGGGCCGAGACTGTCTTCTTTCAGCACATCAGGTTTATGCTATTAGAAAATTGTTCTGTCCTTAGAAGATTCGTGGGTTCTAAAGAACATGTCGTGGTAGGCCTATAGGAATGCCGGGACGGTTGGTCCCTACTCAAATGTCCCCAGCAGGATCTATTCCACTGCGCCCACTGGCCGTCCCTTGCCTTTCCCGTGCCTGGGTGAGCGAGAACAGGATTAGTGCGAAGATGCTTACGTACTGATACGGGTATTTGTCCGTTGTTTTCGGGCGTAGCCCGAATTGTTTCTCGCGAGTTAAACTGATTCAACTGAGGGCGCAACCTATGGCGCAACCGATAGGATACGGTTTTATTTTCGGCCGCTGAGGGCGCAACTTATGGCGCAACCGATAGGAGACTGTATTATTTTTCACGCTTCGCGTATCCCCACCACCATTCTGGCTCAAGCCGCTCTGGCTCAAGGTGCGCCGAGCCGGCTGTGCGCCATGGGCCGGAGGTGCCCCGTCCTCCGGTCCGCCTGGTGGGGGCCAGGAAAACGCTCTTCTTCTTGGCCTCCCCTTCCCCCCCCCCCGCGCCATGTCGCCGCGCTCGGCTTGCCGGCGGCAGCAGCGGCGGGCGGCGGTCGCGCGCCAGGCCGCCACCGCCGGCGCGGCCGCCGAGGCCGCCGCGGCGCCGCCGCCCGGCCTGCCGCTGCACTCGGCTGCCGCCGGCGCCGCCGCCGCCGCGGCGGCCGGCCGCTCGGCCAGGGCCGCCGCCGCGGCGCGCTGCCGCAGCCCCTGCTGGCAGCGCGGCCGCGCGGCCCACCGCGGCCGCCGCCGACGCTGCCGCCCCCTGCTGGCAGCCTGGCCGCGCGGCCCGCCGCGGCCCGCCCCCTGCAGCGGCTGGCGCCGCCGGCGCTGCCGCCCCCGCGGCCGCCGGCGACGGCGCCGCCGCTGCGGGTGCGGGCGCGCGCGCCGCCGCTGCGGCCGCTGACGCCGCCGCCGCTTGCGCGGCCGCGGCCAAGGCGGCCTCTGCGGCCGCCCTGCACGCTGCGGCGGCGGGCGCCGCTGCCGCCGCCGGCGCGGGCGCCGCTGCCGGCGCCGCGGGCGCCGCCGGCGCCGCCTGCGCTGCCGGCGCCGCGGGCGCCGCGGGCGCCGCCGCCACCGGTGGCGCCGCGGGCGCCGCCGGCGCCGTTGGTGCCGCGGGCGCCGCGGGCGCTGGGCGCGAAAATGGCCCCGCCGCCGCCGGCGGGGCCGCGGGCGCCGCAGGCGCCGCCGCGGGCGCTGCTGGGGCCGGCGCCGCGGGCCCGGTGGCCGGCGCCGCCGCCGCCGCCCTTGCGGCCGCCGGCGCCGCGGCCGCCGCCGCCGCCGCCGTGGCGAGGCGGCCGCCGCTGTGGCCGCGGGCCACGCGGCCGGCGCCGCGGCCGCCGCGGCCCGCGCGGCCGCGCTTGGGCCCGCCGCGGTTGGCGCCGCCGCGGCCGCCGCAGCCGCGGCGGCCGCGCAGCAGCAGCAGCAGCAGCAGCAGCAGCAGCAGCAGCAGCAGAATTCTTCTCTGTGCTGCACTCCTCCCTTTTTGCACCGCCAGGCGAGTGCATCGTCACAGCGCACGTCGCGCTCGACTCGAGCCTGCCTTCCATTCTGCTCAACATCGCTCGCCTTTTTCTCCTCTTTTGCCTTTCAATCCTCATATGCATATGTGCATTAGCACGCGTACTGCTCGCTTGTATCGCTACATCGCCATATATTTGTACAGTGGTCAGTATCACACTGTATTTAGTATTTGGCTGAGAGAGTGGAGGCCGCGTAATCCAGCAGTGCCAGTCGGTAGCCTGGCGCTCTCAGAACCCGTGAGGAGCCACGGTGCGAGTGAAAAGCGTTATCAAGATAACCTCGAGTGTTCATGATAGTCGTGCTTCCCTTGCTGTCGCTCCTACACTTTCAGTTCCTACCAACTGCGAGACCAGCAGCTCACCCCCAGAAGCCTCCTTGTGGGCGGGGGTGGTTAAACTATAACCCTTCCGTAAATTGCGAACCTTTACATTCCATATGGAGATCGCCTACAGACGAGCCCGCAATGTCTTCCCCGCACTACAGTACAGTGAATGGCAGCACCACGTTCAACTTCAGAGAGGCCTCCAGGTCCTCAGAGCCGCCTGCCAGTACTGTCAGCTGCCACACGGTGGAACAGAGGAAAACCTATGCAGAATGTTGGCGAGAGCTTTTGGCAATTGGGCCCTTCGAGGGTTCTTACAGCCAGACCTCATACATAAACTACGTGATGTACGATGTGTGTTTGGGGTACTGGCTTGCAAAAGGGAGATCGAACGCACGAATTTGGACATGTTATTATATTCTCGGATGTCATCAGTTTTACCACTTTGCAGCAACAAACCACAGTACAAAGCACCATGTGCGCATGGTGCTCAGAGCGGCCAAACCAGAGCTGCAGGGTGTATTGTTGTATCGAGCGTTTAACTCAGCTTTTTGGAAATCATTCCTCCAACAACTTGAACACACACGTTTTGCTCCGAAAGCCGACCACAATAAAACGGGTATGCTGTATGCTGCAGTATCCCTTGAATGTGGGGCCTGGTACCTGGGCAAAGCACAGACAAGCCGCCGAGTTAACGGCAAAGCTTGGCATGGGGGAATGGCCCGTTTCAAGGAACATTTCCATGCGACATTCATGGATGCAGGATCTCAGACACACAGGCCTAGATATAAACAGTGGAGTAGTTGTACTATGTGGTCTTTGGTGTCGACGCCCCTTGCATATGGTAGTATATCACATGTCTTGCAGTATGAGCTGTTTGCCATTGAAGTGTTGCACCCGCCCACACAGATACTCCCAGCAAGTAAGCAGGGAAGACGAGACCCGCGGAAACGTGAGTTCCCGAGGTTCCGGCGACACCCAAATGTGGAGCAGGAGTGTTCACTTAATCTACTTACACAGATACGTACACGTACACATATACGACAACGCATGTTGCGCACGCAAGCTTCATTCCCATCCCTTGCCTCGTGGTGCCAGCGCTATTTGCTCATACCCCTGGCACGCGTCAAGCAGCTTATGTATGTTAGAGGATATGAGCCATGGTTGTGCGTGTATTTGGGGGATCTGGGCACACGCCTCGACTACAGACGAGTCTGGAGGCACGCGCTCCTTGTCCCATATCTCGTTCGTCTCTGGTGTCTGTGTTGCCATTTGTGTTACCAGCAACGAGAAACAGCTCGTAGTAAAATTGAACGGTTTTTACAGACGGGAAACTTGCTGCCGAGCAGGACCTTTACCATCCGTATTGCGTCATCCTGCCCCAACGTCTTGGCCAGAGTGCGACGAGTGGTGCGACAATATATGTGGAGAGCCACCAGAGGGCGAAAGCACCTATACGAGTATTGTGTCGCCAAATGCCAAGTTGTCGGTTCGCGTGCTGCATACTTTAGTGATAG